TCAGGACTGTCTTGCCATATAATAACAACTATTACTGCAATGAAGATCAGCTCTGCTTACCATGCATAAAGCAATCATACTTGTAACATCTTCTGCAGAACAGCATATGAAAAGAGTGCAGACTTTGTTCTCTTGAAACAGATTGTGCCATGGGACTAAAAAAGAGGGAAAAAATAAAACTACTCATTTGAAGTAAAATTTGGATGTGACATGTCATGAATCAGCCAATATAAAAAGCTCAACACTTTAACCACCAGAAGTAATTAACATGTAACTTCTCCCCAAAATATCCATAAATTATCCAGCCAACAGGTAATGAAAATAATCAAACTTATCAGGTAAAAGTTTTTATCTTGATCTAACAATACATTCTCATACTAATTCATAAGGAAATGTGCAAAAATCAGATCTTGGAAGTTAAAGGGTTTACAGTGTAGATCATACAAAATAATTGCCATGACAAAGGATTTTTCTACCAAAGAATATAACATTAAATTTCAACCACATGATACACTTCAGACACACTGTTTTTTCATTTGCTGATCTTATATAAAGTTTTAGTTGATTGCTCTCCTAACCTGTCAATATTTGGAGTACATTCTGGTGGTAATTCCCCATTCTTATGATCCAACACATTCTTGTATCTGTAGAAAAATAACAGAAACAAGTCCAGTACAAAAAACTCAAGTACAAAAGCAAGCCAGAAAGGGTAGCCTAATGTTAGTGCATTTGGACTCCCGAAAGCTCCACCAAAGAGTATAGATGGGTAGCAGCAAATTTTCAGGGAAGACCAATGAAAAGCTGAGGGGCAACCTTACAATGGACTGGCATCTCATTCAGGGACATACCAATTCAAGCCAAGGACACCAGGACAAGCTCTGGCTGGATCGGCCACTTGGCTTGAGTTCAGAGTTGACCTTATTAAGCCAAGGAGCTCATTTTACCAGAACTGATCCTTGTTTAAGGAATATGACAGGACTACCATATTTTTGCAACCTCCATGGATGGGATGCCAGTCCATATTAGGGTTAACCCTTTAACTTCCACGAGTGACCAAGACAGAATTTCTCCTTACAATATCAACACAATATCAAACAGATTAGTGATGAGAATAAAGAAAAATATCAATTTGGGGAAAATTAGTTGATCCAATAGTGAATTCACGGCACTAACATTATAAGAATTGTATGGTTGACAGAAGGGAGAATTACAAATTTGATCTGGGAGTTAAAGGGTTAAGGAGAGGTACTGCAAGGGTAAAGTGTCTTTCCCAGGAACACACCATGTGGACACAGCCAGGCTCCACCCATTATTTTTTAATCTCAATTCAAGAGACATCCTAGATCCCTTAGCCTTTAGCTAAGCACATTGTCTGAGTCAATTATTTTGCCTGAAAACACAACAAAATGGCCCTTGCCAGAGCTTGAAACCCAGAAAAATAAAAACATTTAAACCGAAATATGATGTTTACCTTCGGAAAACTTCTGCGCCAGTTAAACCTTTATCAGGAAACAGAGATGCTATGGCATCAAACAGTTCATCATGGGTCTCCCCTGTCTCTTCTGGTGGTTTTTCTTCATCTTTGGGTAAACAATCATCCTCTGTAAAATAAAGAGAATTCTTTGTAAAAAAATAACTACCATAACACTGCCCAACACTGGAAATGGTCTATACAGTAGTAAAATGCAATGTGCAGGAGGTTGGCAGTTATCAACACCAATTTACAACTGAACAATAATTTTTTTTTCAGAGACATGAGGAGAAAGATAAATTTCAAGTGCTCCCAGCAAGAATGGAACCTGTGGCTGAACAAAATACTATTTCACAAGCTCTTTTACCATGCTTTGGAAAACTGAAGGTGGTTCAGCCATAAAACCAGTTTCATTTGACGAACAGCATGCATACCACTAGAATTGAAATGTTATTTGGATGTTTTTTTGCATTTGCAAATACTTAAAAGTTAACCCTTTACACCCAAACATCAGTATCCATATTCTCTATACTCTTCTCAACATATTTCTTTTAGTGCTGACAAGGAGAATTTTTGTTAATAATCAAAGCATCTTAGGTTGGTGATCATTTCCCTTATTCTCATGATCTTAATGAACAATTCAGCTGTATTAATGTTAGGAGAAATCAGATGCTGATCACTTTAAGGGTTTATAGGGTTATGTTGCCTCAAACTGAACACAAATATTCACAGTGTGCACCAATGGAATCAACTGTCTTTAATTGATTAAAAGGTTGTGTGGGATACACAACCTTCTGATTTTAACCTTTTCAGCTTGTATTCTCACCAGTATGATTTACTGTAGGTAATTAACCCTTTAACTCCCATGGGTGACTGAGACAGAATTTCTCCTAATAATATCAATACAATATCAAGCAGACAAGTGATAAGAATAAAGAAAATATCAATAAGGGGGTTATAAGTTGATCCAATACCAAATTCTCCAAACTAATATCACAAGAACTGTATGGCAGACAGTAAGGAGACTTACTAACCTGTAACTTCAGTTGTTTCCTTCTCCTCATCTTTTTTTGTTTCAATTTCTGCATTCTCCTTAGCAGAATTCTTGTGTTTTTTTAATGCTTCAACCAGCTGTAGAAGTAAATCATCTGTGAGGGCTGCTTCATCAAACACTGCACAAAATAAAAAGGCAACATTCTTGTGAAAGAAAAGTCAGTCCTTTTTGAGCCAATTGAAATGTCAGACAGTTAAAAACAAAAAATGAAATCTAGGAAGAAGTGTTCTTTACCATGTTCTGGAGTGTTGTGAACCCTTCCCTCATAGTTTTTGATGAGCTCCTCAATAAATGATCCATCCTGGTCTAAAACTTCTTCACCCATGTATGGAATATTGTGCAAGACTGTCTCATCTTCCACCTGGCAAGATGCAAATGGCATTCAGTGCAGGAAAATGAATTATGGTTTCCTTGTCAAATACCATCAGAATTTTATCAACAAAACCCCTTTTCTCTGATTACACTGTAAGTTATAAAAGGAGTAGAAAAAACTTGATCCATAACTAACAGAATGTATCTCGAGCTTGGTTGGTAAGAAATATTTATTATACAAGTATCTCTTGCTCAGAGTGTGTGTTATGATTGTTCAATTAAGCTGACTGTATTTCAGAGTGTGGCCCCTAGATTCAAAAGTTTGTCCAAATTGAAATCTATTTGAACCCAGAGATTTAAGAAATATCTCACTAATGTCATTTTCTGGGTTTGTGCAATAAGTTACAGAACATTGTATTTCAACTCAGATTTATGGTCCTCACACTTGAGCCATAAATGTGAGTCGACAAAACTCTGTCCATAACTTACACTACAGACCTTGAACTCAGAAAGATTTATTCACCTACCATATAGTTTTGCTGCAGAGGAGACCAGGTAAAGAACTGTGGAAGAGACTGGACAGTATACAGGGTCCTTAAAACTGTGTGTTGAGTACCATGTCCAAATCCACAGTAGACAGAACTCTGGTAAAAAAAAAACACCAGAGCACAAATTTGAAGTGAAATTACACTCCCACAAGTGATCATAATGGAATTTCTCCTTAAAATATCAACAGGACTAGTGACAAGAATAGAAAAATATTGATTAGAGATTTGTAAGTTGATCCAATACTAAATTCTTTGAACTGACATCATAAGAACTGTATAAGAGACAGTAAGGAGAATTACTAATGAGATCTTGGGAGTTAAAGGGATAAATAAACAGCTACAGAATTTTCTTCCAATTTTTACTGGTATTATGCTCACAATACTTGCTTTCACAGTTAAACAGCACAGTACTGAAACTCTTCATACCTTTCTTGTGGAGGGAAGCTGTTCAGCAGGTGATATATATGGAACCATTTGCTGCTTTTCACCCTTTTGTAGCTCTCTTCTCCTCAGCAACTGCTCTCTGATGCTTTGTTGATTGTCTCTAAAACAGGTCTGAAAGATAGCAGATTAAAAAAAATCAAGTTAAATATTTATTGATTAAGAAATAACATACAACTGACTCACAAGTTGTAAATTCACTGTCATTCAATCCTCTAACTCACACAAGTGATTAACAAGCAACTTCTCACTACAACATCTATACCCTATCCAGTGAACAGGCAATGAGAATATTAAAACTTATCAGTTAGTTGTTATCTGGATCTAACAACCAAATTCTGGTAGCTATTTACAAGGAAATGTGTAGCAGCTAGTGGAGAGAACTATAAATCAGACCATGAGAGTTATAGGGTTCCAATAACTTTCGACCTCCACGGTACGCTATTATCACATGACCGCATCAAAATGAAACAAACAGCTTGCTTGACAATGAGAAAATTGTTATTTAAAAATAAAGAAAAATTTAAACGCATACAAACTGCAGGTGAGAGTATTAACTTTAACATAAAAAATCATAAGAGAGCGCAGTTCTTTCTCAAAGAGATTAAAATACCCGTAGCTAAAGGTTGATTTCACCTTGTTTCAGTGGAAGAAATCTGTTTCATTGAAAACTCACTCTTTTGCTACAATAATTATATCGAAAAATATTGGTTAAATAGATCAGAAACAAATGCCAACTCCCGATTAATTGCTACAGAGGTAATAGTGAATTTTCATGTTACTAAAAGTATAGGGAAGCTTGTTGCATGCGACAACAACGATGCACATGTTTTAATGTTGTCTGTGGGAGATCAAGTGTAACTTCCGAGTACCTTCACCGCTTCGACTTTCTCTGATTGCTTGGATTGCCTTAATTTTAGGTATTCCAGCCGGGCAGTTCGTTTTAGGTCACTTTCCATGCTGCAATCCCTCACTTCTGTCATGATAACTCGACAGGATAGCTTTCTGGATAATAAATACGGCGGGAACACGCGTTTTCAAACAATACTGAATGATTATCAAAACTCGGCAATTTTCGTAGCTTTTCGGTTGTACTCGGTTATTCTTCGGAGAGTTTTGGTTGGCCTACATGACGTCTTATTTATTTAAAATTTGTTGGCGCGAAGCTCAAGAACAAAATGGCGGACGTAGAGGAAAAGGAAAATTTTATAGCTAGCGCGACTCACAAAAAGCCAAAACAGAGCGCAAGTCTTGTTACGGATGTGCTTTTGAAGTCTGCTCGTTTAGAGAAGGAAGACATAAACTCATGTGTTAAGAAAACATTGCAGAAAGCAGAGGAAGTGAAGGTAAATTGTGTTTTCTAATTTTGATCTCAAGATCACCTACACAATCGATTTTTTCTATGTGTCTCCGATTATTGTTTTTTTGTGTGTGTATTTATGTGAAGGAACACTCTAATTTATTTTGTAGCAATCTATATGTAATATTGTGTGAAAAATATACAAAAGAAATCAGTGATTGTATACAATTCAATCCATAACATTTTAATTAGATCTGGTGGAGGGGGAATTAAAAAAGATAATTTCTAATTATCAATGGGTCGATATTCCCTTTTTCAATTCGTTATCTATACATTTGTATTACTTTTTTCAAATTATGTATGCTATAGAATTTTTGACACAATTCCTATCTCTTTATGGCAATATTTTTCTTAATTTTCGCCATTTTTTTTCTCATAGTTTCATGTCTTAATTATTCCCACATTTTGACCGCATCGCATTTTGACCGCCTTTGTAAATTATGCACAGTTGACCACAAGTCTTCGGTGTGTTTTTTCTTTCTGAAACTAAAGATACAGAAAATTTTATTTTATCACGATTTTAGCCTATAATTACATAGTTCCAAATAATTAGATGGTTGAAAATTTAAAGAAATTGTTTTTGATAGGGTGTAGTTATTCAAAATTGGGTGTTAATGTATTTCTACAGAAAAGTTGATATATCATGGTTTTTGATTACACAGATGTTAATGTTTGGGCAAAAGTTTTACAACTGCAAAGTAAAAACACTGATGTATCATCTTAATGATCCAAGTAAATATTTCTTTCTTTCAGGCAGAGGTCCTTCAGGCAATATACAAGGAATACACATTTGATGAATTTTTAGACTTCTGTAATTCAACCTTTGAAATGAACTGGAATGTGAACAACCTTCTCACTGAAATTCAAAATGTTTTTGGCAGACTGAAGGTTGGTGGGAATTTTATTATTCAATTAACCATTTGCGTGGACATCAGTGTGTTTCCATGGACAAAGGAAGCAAACAGGAAGTTTTCTGGGTACAAAAGATGCCAAAAGTCACTGAAGGTGCAGCCAATAACAACATTAGCCTCTTAAGTGCCCTTCAAACTTTCCAACAGTGTTATATCTCTTAATGCACATAAAAGTGACAGATAAACAGACAAATGAGTAAGGTTGTAATTATTTAAAGAAACTGTGGTGCTGCATCAGGGGGGTGGGGTGGGAGTGGGAGTGGGGGGGAGTGGGGGTGGGGGGGAGTAGGGGTGTATTACAAGATAATTTGGTTTCATCAACTGAGTTAATAATGTGAATTGGCCACCATAAAGTTGATGTTTTGAGCATTAGCCCATTGTCAGAGCAAATCATATAAAACAATCATTATACTACATTTTTGATGCAACAAAGTAAATGTAATTTTAGAGGAAATTCCCATTACTGTACTTAAATGTATGCCCATGCACCTGTCTTCCAGTAATATCCACAATGGGAATGTAAAGAAGGCTTGGGCAGTTGAATTTGAATAAAGATGATGCAATTTTTTGTCAGCATTTGCTTCTTGTTTTTCTTTGTTTAAGAGCACAGTGGAAGGTCCTCTTGATGCTGCTGCTCATGAACATGGTGACCTTGTGAAACAATTAAGAGAGACTGAAGCCATTGCAGAGCTCCTCAAAAGACTCCATAAGGTAAATGATGCATTCATTCAATATTTACTATTTTTTTTTGTGACTAAGAAACTTAGATATATCAAAAGTTGGTGATGATACAATTTTATACCTTTCACAATGTGAAGACCCTTGTTTTAAATTACTAACCTAAAACAAAATGCACAACTTCAAACCTTGTAACAAACCACGTCCATTAATTTTCCAGGCAGCAGTCATTTCATTTCCTGTCCTGTAGGATGTTGAATTTTCCTCTTGTTGACCAAACTATTTAAATTGTTTTGTTACTATAAACTGTAGATCCATGAAGCATTGGATGCCTTCCCTGGGGAGCTTAATAAAGCTGCATATTATAACGCAGCTAAGCTTGTGCAATCTGTGGTAAGAGATCAACTTCTTAACTCTTCAACTCACATGGGTGACCAGGAAAGAATTTCTCCTTACTATATCAATACAGTATCAAGCAGACAAGCATTGAGAATAAAGAAAAATATAAATTACATTATTAGTTGATCCAATACCAAATTCTCCAAACTAACATAATGAAAATGGCAGACAGTTTAAGGAGAATTCCTAATAAGATCTTGGTAGTGAAAGGGTTGAGTAGACTTCAACTCAGGTTTTTGAAAAATAAGGTATGACAGTCACCAATCGCAACAAGAGAGAAGTGATATGACTTGACTTTGATGTTGATTTTTGCTCAGGCTGTACAAATTTCTTTCCTTTGTTGAAATGTCAGTCTCTTTTGCAGAGTAAAGTCCTTTTCAAAACTACAGTGATATTTATGCAATCAACTTTTACTTTTGGATTTGAATCACTCGAGTCATTTACTATAGAATGATAATTAACCTGATGTTATGATGATTTTTTCTTCCAATAGAAAGAACTCCTGTCTGATTTACCTAAAGCTGGCCAGGAAGGACGGATTTTTATTGCCCTCAGAGTAAGGGATCACCTCCCAGTAGTTGCTGTTATATATTGTCATAAAACTTTTAAGTTCCCTCTTTTTCCAAATATGAGTTTGTAGTTTTATTTTGTGGTTAATTCTTCTCCTCAATGATGTTGTTTGTCCATCAACAATGGAGGAAGACCACACAGGTCATTCTAAGGGTGGGGTGGTGGTCTATATACTAGGGGAGATCCTCTGCCATGTATGGGCAGGTGACTGGGAAATCTTAGCCCTGAAGGGGTGATGAACAAATAATTGAGCTGTCAGTCCCACCTGATATCTCAACCATTTAAATCTCATGAATAACCAGTAGGAATTTCTCCTCACAATTTCAAAACAATATCATACAGACAAATGACAAGAATAAAGACAAATATCATTTAGGTGATTGTTACCTGATCCAATACTAAATTCTCTTAATTCACATTATAAGAACTGTAGAGTACCCACTAACGAGAATCATTAAAGAGATGTTGTTTAAAGTCACAAATATTGATTTTTTGCAGGAGGAATGGGGAAGACAGAAGGCACAGCTGACTGCAACACTGGAAAGGGTGTGGACCAAAAGTATTGCATGGACGACACCCACTACAGCATCACTGGACAACAGTCAGGGACATCTGAAAACACAACTCAAGCTGGACCCAAGTAAGAAAATCTCTCTCTAGGACTTCACTCACATTAATAATAAGGCTCTAATATTGTCACTTTGTAGGCTGTAGATTGCCACACTGGACATGTATCAAGAGTTCTTTCTGAAATATGCCCTCTGGCTTTTTGGAGAACTCCCAAGAACAGCCCCCTCCAGGACTTCTCTCACATTAATGATAAGGCTCTTATATTGCTTCTTTGTAGGCTGTAGACTGACACACTGCACATGTATTAACAGCTCTTTCTGAAATTATGCCCTCTAGCTCTTTGGAGAATTCCTAACTGAAAGGGGAAGGGGTTAGGATTATGGAAGAACTCCCACATGCAGTCTTGTATGTATCTGTCAAGTCTGAAATAAAGGGGAAAAAAAAAAAAAAAAAAAAAGTTGTTCAAATTGTGATCAAATATCCAAGCTACCGTGATGGATTTTATTCCTTTGTTAGCCCTTTACACCTAACACAAATATGCATATTCTCCTTACTGCTCTTTATACATTTCCTATGGTGCTAACAAAGAGAATTTGTTTTACGATCAAGAGCTTCCTTAGTTGGTGTTCATTCCCTTTAATCTCCTGACCTTAATGTATGATTCAGAGGTAATACTGTTGGGAGAAATTAGATCCTTATCACTCTAAGGGTTAAAGGTTTAACTAAAATTAATAATTATCATTAATGCAATTGGCTTGGATTGATTTGTGACATTTCATATGTTTATTTGCAGCTGGCTGTTCAATGAGTAATGTTCTTCAAGCAATGGAAGTAAGTTTGATCTTAATGACTACTGACGTTGATATCAAGGCTGTATTTGTGACTGACTTGTAACGGACAGAAACTTGATGGATCTTCCTTTTTGCATTCTCTTTCATAGCTTTACAAGTTCTAACAAGTTTTTTCTTTTATCTTCTATGTTTCTAGGCGCTTGGTATTTTGGAAAAAAGATTTAGAGTGTTTGGTAATGTCATGCAAATTTATTTTTACCTAATGAATCTCTTGTTTGAAACAAGCTGTTGACTTTACAAACTAAGGCATTTTTAAATTATTTTGTTTGTTTTGTAAATGTAGGAAAGAAGCTGGTGCAGTTCATATTTCGTCCCATAACACTGTTTCCCAGGTAATTTGATATTTTAAAGTGAAACAAAGATTATGTATCTGGTACACACTGTATAATTATATCCCAGTATCTGTAGAGTGCAGTTACTATGAGTATCTCCTTATTTTTATGAATGGAATTGTGTATCAATATCAGTATCTGGGCAACTGCCCACCTACCCCTCCCCTAACCCAACATTAACATTAACTTGTGGTCAATTAACTGTTGTTGAGTTAGGAGAGGGGTAGGTGGGCAGTTGCCCAGATACTGATATTTATCCGGATTTGTAGTGTATTGCAAGTATAACTTCAGGACATTTCAATAGGCATTATTAAACCTTTGATCCCCTTGAGTGACTGGTATCTAGTTTCTCCTTACAATATCACCCCTAAATCCCACATTAAGGTCAAGATTATAAAGGAAATGATTGTCAACTTATTTAAGCTCTTGATTGTTAGACAAATTCTCCTTGTCAGCCGTTAGGAAGTGTATTGAGAACAGTATAGAGGATATGTATGCAGATGGTAGGGTTTTAAGGGTTGAATTGTGGAATTCAAGGTTGTAAAAGGGTATTAGACTTGTATCTAAGAGGCACTTGATTTTACTCCTGTGTAGAGAGAGGCATAACGTGAGAGTTAACTGTTTAATTCTCAAGATCTAATTGTCAATTCTCCCTTCTAACTGCGGGAATATGGTGTTAGATCAAAATAACAATTTCTATCTGATAAGTTTGAGTATTCTCATTACCTGTTTGCTGAATAATTTATGGATATTATAGGGAGAAGTTAGATGTGAATCACTTCTAGGAGCTAAAGAATGAAGCATCTAAGCTTCCTTTCTTCTCATTATTTTTTATTTCTAAAGCTTAAAGCCACAAGTTGACAAAACAAAACAAGAAATTACAACTGTGTCATTTGCAAAGGAAAGTGGAAAAAAGATCATTGATCCTGGTGAGTATGTGTGGCTCTTTTTGTTTTGTTTCATGAATTTGATGACAGAGAAACCTCATTCAACAATATTAATTTTGCTTACAGTACTACACATAATTGTTAATATCAAGCAGACCAGTGATCAGAATAAAGGAAAATATAAATTAGGGGATTATTAATTGATCCAATACCAAATTCTCCAAAGTAACATCACAAGAGTTGTGTAGTATGGCAGACAGTAAGGAGGATTACTACTCAAATCTTGGGAGTGAAAGAATTAATTAAGTGCCAATACTGCTTTTTGATTTCAGCCTTGTTGTATTCAAAGTTCTCAGAAATCCTTGTCATTTTGAGAAACTTCTTTGAAGGAAGTAGGAAAGAAGATGATGAAATGTCAGAGGAACTTAATGTGTCAAGTTCATCACTTTTTGCGAAACTAGGTATGTTTCATCCAGGATTTATAGACAGTCTTGAATTCTTGAAAAAGTACATGGAAATTTTAATTTTCTATACCTGGAGAAAATGGAAAATAATCTGGAAAAAATGGGAAGAGGTCTGAAGTTGTTTCCAAGCAGCAACAAGTGCTTAACTGAGAAGTAAGCTAGGTCTTTGTAAGATTATTAATGGTGGACTTTCACCTAAACTGAAATATTTCTCTATTACCATCAGAGACATTTTTATTTTTATTTAAGTTGTGTCACCTGGAGTTTATATCTTACACAACTGTCAGAACTGATTTTCTTCTCTGTTTTATACATTTTATCAACTAACCCATTAACTACTATGACTGACCATGACAGAATTCCTCCTTACAATGTCAAGCAGTCAAGTTAAAGGAAAAAATATCAACTAGGGGATTATTAGTTGATCCAATATCAAATTCTCCAAACAAACATCATGAGAATTGTATGGCAGACACTAAGGAGAATTACCAATAAGATCTGGGGGTGATAATTAGGATAGTTTTTTTCGCTCAGGTCATGTGTCTAAGAAATGAGAATAATTGATTGGAAAAGTGTTGGCAAAATGTTTACTACTACCAAAAAATATTGCTAAAATAGTAATGACAAGAGATTATGATTCAATTATTGTTAACCAATTATCAATTATTCAGATTTTCTGTATAAACAAGTTGCATTTCTTCCTCTTCAGGTGAATATATATGGCCTGATCTATCAGAAACTATTATTAAAGAGTGCCTCAAGAAATCAGTTCCTAACACAAGTGCACAGGTATACCAAAGTGGACTTCACCCTTGGATTCACATAATTTTTTAACTTCACCTAGTGCACCCAGTATTTTGGGATGGTTACCACTATTTTCCAATCCAAGAAGTCAACACAGTGGGATTGTATGTGGATGTTAGCAAGGATCATTTCAAACTTCAGCCAATGATCTCGCAAGATCCTCCAGTGTACAGTGGAACCCAGCATATAAACCTTATTAAATTATATTTCTTTTCTTCTTTCTCAGTTGGAAAAGTATCAAGATGTCATAAAAACCACTGAGGAATTTGAGACAAAGCTTGTGTCTATAGGTACGGAAAATTTCTTTAAACAGTTGGTCTTCTTTCCATTATGCCCAATTTGGTATTTTTATAAAAATCAAGACTATTGGTTCAGACAGCTTTTCTTTTGAGCTCATCTTTTGGTTTGTTACTCAAATCTTTTGTTGTCACCTAGGTTTAGTCCCTGAAGGAACAAATAATCTCACATCCTATGTAAAGGATGTTGGTATTCACTTTGGAAACAAAAAGGTATATTATAAGTATAACTTGTGTATTGTCTTTTTAGTATTTTAAGGATCTTGGCATCATTAATTGTCAAGAATTCAATGTATTAGACTGATTTCAAGCCCTTTTTCTTTTTTTTGGCCTATAACTGTGCTTTTATAGTGTCAAGATCTTCTGGTCAGGGCACGTGATCTGATGAAGGATGACATTCACAATACTGTGTTGGTGGACAGAAAGAAAGACAAGGCAGTTCTACAGAGTCTGGGTGATATAAAGAAAGCATTATCAGATAACAAGAAAGGAGTAAAGGTATTTAACAAAATTTGTTACAATTTTGGCCCATATTTAAACTCGGTGGTGGCTTGCTTGGGAACAATTCTCCACATCAGTACAGTATGCATCAATCAATGCAAAGCTTTAACATCTCCCCCCCTCTCCCAGCAACTCCTGCTCATGGCATTTTAATTTTTACAGAATGGTTTGTTAAAATCCCTTCCCCACCAGCCAGGGCAAAAGGTGTGTTCAAATGCCCCATCCTATATTTTTGTAAGAGGCAAAATCAGTGTCGGTGACTTTCTATATATTGACCAACCTTTTGAGGTTTGAGGTGTCATAGAGGGCATAGACTTGTGATGAAGATATGAGTCGTAAATTGACAAACGTATCTTTTTCAGCATGAACCATTGCAGAGAGATCCAGCTAACACACTAAGCAAGTTTACATTCTGCCTTCCATCCTGCCGAATCAGTGAGAGTACAGAGAAACTAATGAATCTGGCTTATGAAACTTTGATAGAAGCAACACAATCTACCCCACAATGGTATGAACAGTAGCTACATAATTACAATTGCAAGCACATTTCTGCCTTTTAATTTAATGCTCACTTTGTGATGAGCTTATTACATTTTTTTTCCTTTTCCAGTGCTATTCAGCTCTTCTACAGTGTTCGTAACATGTTTGAGTTATACTGCAATGTTGTACCCACTTATCATCAACAGCACTTGGTGAGTTTGTGGTTGTTTCATCACTTTAACTCTTAAACTCCCGAGATCTGATTGTTAATTCTCCTCTCAAGCTGTTACACATTTCCTTGTAAATAAGTTACAAGAATTTGATGTCAGATCAAGATAGCCACCTCAACCTGATAAGTTTGAGTATTCTCATTACCTGTTTTCAAGATAATGTATGGATATTACAATGAGAAGTTACGTGTTAATCACTACCTTGTATTTGTCTCTCTTCAGAGCAAATTACCTCAGTTGTCTGCTCTGCATCATAACAACTGCATGTACATTGCTCATCACCTTCTCACTCTTGGACATCAGTTCAGATCCAAGTTGCCAGAGCCTCTTAATCAGAGCGTGGCTACTTTTGTGGATCTGGTGCCAACCATAAGACATATGGGAGAAAAATGTTTCCTTGAACAACTGGTTAGTATTTTGTTTGAGATTTTGTTTCCATTATTGCCCCTTACAGATCCTACATCATAACCTAACAAGATTTCTGCTTGTAAAGCTATTTCCATCAAAAAAATTACTTTTTTACAACTTAATGATGCACATGACAAGTTTTTGATTATGGGCAAGTCCTATGAACCCTTTACACCCTAATATCAGTATACATATTCCTCATTCTGTTTTCTATACATTTCTTAAGGTGCTAAAAAGGAGAATTTGTTTAACAATCAAGAGCTTCTTTAGTTGGTGATCATTTCCTTTATTCTCCTGACCTTATATTGTTTGATTAAGGGATGACATGATATTGTAAGGAGAAATCAAATCCTAGACACACTTTTGGGATCAAAGGGTTACAGTGAAAATGTAGTTAATTAATTTCTGTTGTTTCTGTTCACAGAGAAAGCAAAGGTCTAATTTGTTGGAAGTTGTGCAGGGGAACAAAGGTTTTGCGAATGTGCATGAGGATGAAAAAGGTTTGCAGGTTGAGAAATCAATGAAACAGGTGAGCATACAAGGAGGTGCACTGATGGAAATCTGCAATTTTTAATTTCCTGGTAATCCACAACTACCTGCTAAAATACTGTTTTGACCAAAAGCATTGATAGAGTTGACTAGACCTTCTGCACTAAGTTCTCATCAGTTAAACCTTTACAGCTTCATATGTCCTTGGTATCCAAGTTCTCCTTACTGTTCTGTATCATTTTCTGTGGTACTTACAAGGAGAATTTATCTAACAATCAAGATCTTATTCTCATGACCTTAATGTTTGATTCAGGGGTGATAATGTGAGGAGAAATTAGATGCCTATCATTCGCAGAGGTTAAAAGGCTAACTATGTTACTTTTCCTTTGTCTCTGAGAATCACATAACCCACTAACTGGGTCTTCTACTCTCAGGCTCTTCCAAGAAACACTTGACATCCACATTGCCCCCTAAGAGTGATTAGCATCTAATTTCTCATTACAACATTGTCCCTGAATCACGCATCAAGGTCACAAGACTAAAGAAAATGATCACCAAACAAATAATAAAGTCAGAAGAATAAAGAAGCTCTTGATTGTTAAACAAATTCTCCTTGTCAGCACCTTACAAAATATACAGAGGACAGTATGGAGAATGTGCACATTGATGTTAGGAATTTGAATTAGGTGAACAAGTACTACTTCTTGTGGCTAAGGACTCACAAAAGCAATGTCACCATTGATATTTTTAATATTCCTAGCAACTAAATGTTAGTTTTCTTCATCATTTTTCAGATTTTGCATCTCCTAACAAATCTTGGAAAAGTGTGGAACGGTATTTTACCAGTTGATATTTATTGTCAGGCCTTAGGAGCCTTATTTGATGACGTCTTACAAAACATTGCTTCAGAAGTTACCCAGCTGGAGGTGAAGCCATAAAATATATCATAGTTATATACCACGCAAGTGAATAGTGCTTTTCACGCATGCTGATTGGCTAGTTCGGAAGTGAATAGTGATAACTATCCACCTCCTGAACATGCTTGTTTTTGTCATCTTGAACTGTTATTACACTGTAGTAAATTAAACGTGAAATGGTGCTGTAACAACCACCAAACAACTTTGTACTCTAGTGTAAGTAAAAAATATTTGTTTCTTAGGTTGGTCTACTTAGCTCTTAGATTTTCTTAGTTGTCTTTGAAACTCTGTTTAAAAAAACAAAAAACTATGCAGGTAACTAATGGTGTTTTGTTATAATTTTTTTTTTTGATAGGATATTTCAGCAGAAGAGGCTCATCAGCTTCATTCATTATTATCCATACTTGTAGAGCGAGGGTCTGAAATATTCCAAAATGTACAGGAAGCAAACTCAGAATCAGCAGAAAACAGCTGGGTAAAAATAATGCAGACCAAAAAAAATCAGCATTCATTGAGTATTGCACATTGAATAATTCTCTGGCTACAGGGCACAATGCTCTAACTTAATTTCTATAACCAGAGCTTTTATTATTAAACAGAGAATATTTAGCTGTTACTCTACACTTTTTTTCTGACACAGATTTCTCACTGAATACCCTGTAAAAAGCCTTCAAATATTTAAGTTTATTTGGAACTTTGTAATTGGACTCCATTAGCTTGACCCTCTTGTGAGGCTTATTTCATGTGCAAGACAAGATTACATAGCCATAATTATGTCTAAAGGTGTCCACCTGTAAGAGTCACCGTGTAAAGGTTCAATTATCATTACTACTCATCAAATAATCCCCAAAATGTGGTGTTTGTGTTTCAGGATTTATGCACAGTTGTACCTCATTGGATTCGTTATAAAGAGCTGATAGCAATATTGGAAGCCAGTTTACAAGACATTGTGGATAGATGGGCAGATGGAAAGGTAGACCTTTTTGTTGCTATTTAGAAGTAGGTTTCTGCTACTTTTTTTTTTTTTTTACAATATCTATACAATATCAAGCAGACAAGTCATGAGAATAAAGAAAAATGTCAATTAGGGGATTATTAGTTGATCCAATACCAAATTCTCCAAATTGAAATCACAAGAATTGTAAACCAGACAGTAAGGAGAGGGTTAATGTTACTTGTTTCAATATTTCCTACCAGGGTCCCTTGGCACATGAATGTAGCGCTCAAGAGGTGAGAGGCTTGATAAGGGCCCTGTTCCAGAACACTGACAGAAGAGCAGCAGTATTGGCAAAGATAAAGCCAGTACAAACATAGTACATTGGAAATACTGTCACACATTAGACGGTTACAAATTCCCCCAATGTTACATATCCCAGAGTCACTCAAAGCATCACTCATCCATAGACAGTGTTCTGTCCTCTCTTATTTGAAGCACAACTTTGAACAAATGAGAAATTTTCAAAACAGTTGAGCAATCCTTTTACCAGTTAAATTTCCAAGACTTCTTAGAGATTTTAGGAAGTAATAGGAGGTATTACATGCAGCAAACTTTACCTGTGACTGCCTGAAAGAGAACACTGCAGAGAGCAAGTGAGTGGAGTTAATTATCAGCTTTGTGTGGTTGAGGACTGTCAATCCACCAGGATCATTAGATCAAGGCTCTTCGGTTGGCCCAGGTGCCTGAGTTAAGCACCCCCTGCTGTTGATAAAAGTAGCAGTCTGTTACAATACGAAAAATGTTAAGGGAGGCTTGGTGATCTATCAGCATTGGCCTTGTACAGTTGGCATTGTATGATTCTGCATAGTGATGAACCAAATGATTATGAACTCAAGATCACCTCTTGTGATCGTTATGTCGTTGTGTTTCTCTAAGTCTCCAATATACAAAATGGGTCTGTTGCCTTACTCCATGCTAAGTTTAATAATAAAAGGAATATTTAGCATACACAAATTTGTCAAACTCATTTATTTCTCACCAGTTGTTCTCTACACTCCACCCAATTATTTTCAAATCTACATATATTTATTTATTAATTTATAATATAGACAAAAGTGTTTTACCAAGAAGTATATCACTTTTAGAATCAATACAACCACTGCATTCAGGAACCAGGTGGTGTAGTTTTCATATGTAACACAAGTGGTCATATTAAGCAATGACATCACCGTCCCGACCTTCAAACTTTGCTGACTGAACTTGATTTGTTTGTCAATTGGAATAATAGCCACCACAAGATATAATCATTGTCCACATAGAGAAAAAAGAAAATTACCTGCTAGTTGGGAGGTATGAATCTGGAGGAGCAAGCACAGCAAACAAGTGAGATATTTTTCTTGCCATTCAAACATAAAATTCATATCTTCTTGTCACCCTGTGATATTCTCTGCACCTAACTTGCCTTACAGTTACTCAGTTATAACTTATTTCTTATTAGAACTGAGTTTGGTCCAGCCTCCCTTGTAAAAGTATATTGAGAGGTCCTCTAAGTTGATACTCTAAAAGAACCTTTAATAATTTCCTTACCAGCACTGCAATAACCAAAAAAAAAAGTAAAAAAAACATACACGTTAACTATTCAATATAAACAGGTGAACCCTTTACACCCTAACATCAGTATGCATATTCTCCATACTGTTCTCTAAATGTTTCCTATGTTGCTGACAAGGAGAACTTGTTTAACAATCAAGAGCTTTACTTAGGCGGTGATCATTTCCTTTATTCTTGTCACCTGAATGTTTGATTCTAGAGCAACATTGTAGGGAGAAAGTAGATGCCAGTCACTGTCCGGGGTCTGAGGGTTAAAACATGAAGTGGAAGTAAACACAAAGAGAGGAGTTTAAGAGGAGTATTTTTCTTCATATGCAATAAGCACAACACTTTGCCCTCTTAACATTATGCAGCCTCAAATCACACTAGAAATAGTAGTGGTTAATTGTTTGTAGATAAGTAGTTTATTTATAATCGCTTTGCAACTTAAAAATTGAATTACACAATTATTACAAACTAAGGAGAATATCAAGGATAACAATAAAAAGAACTATCAGTGGTTTAAAGCAAGTTTGAATGAACATTTGTTTGTAGATCTTTTGTGTTTGTGAATAAAATTTTGATTTAAAATAAAATACCAATAAATTAGTCCAATAAAATAGTTTAGGCTTTAAGGGCACTAAAAGTGATAACACTGTTACTAACACAGGCCTAAACTTTTGTTTTTTTTTCTAAAGTTCAAAGTATCTGTGTTACGAGCAGGAGGAAGGTCATTGAGCTTGTTCTCTTTGCTCTGAATAATTCCTTGAATAATTTATCCACTAGTTCCTGACAGCAGTCTGAAAGTTTCATTAGGCTGATTCAGCCAATGCCACAGAAGATGAGCACCACTGTTTGGTAAGAGAGTTGAAAAACCTCAATGAACGCTTCCTTAGTAATTGCAATAATTAAAAAAAAAAAGGAGATTTAATTCTTATTGAATAAACTTAAAAAAAAGTATACCTGTATTTTTCACAAAAAAAAAAGATAAATTAAAACAAATTTGTTTGATAACAAAAACTCTGTAACACTTGCAAACCCAGTATATTAACCATGCTCTTTTTATAGCATATACACTGTAAAATTACAGACGGCAAAAGCACCCATTATTCATCAAAACAATTATGTTACAAGGTCTTCTTTTATTTCCCAATATATTCCTGTACTCTTTAAATCTAAATGCTGCAAGTTTTAAATACAAGGTCATGCTATTGTCCCCACTATCAAAAATAGGCATCCAAAAAGTAATTCCTATTCAAATTTTAAATAAAATAAATTTTTATATTTTTGACTTAGTAAAATGTAATGCAAGAACACTTTCCCAATTCCCTGATTCCTATTTTCTATAATTTTCTTCCACATCCGACACTGTTATTTATGTAGGAAAACCCAATAACACTTTTACCTGATACCCTAAAAGATATCCTTTATGTATGAGTAATAACATGATTTCAAGTGCAATTTGCTATTAACAAGCAGCAGATTCAACAGGTGTATGAGTAATAACATGATTT